GTGTTCATTTTTTAAATTTGGATAACTGGTTTCCAAGTTATGACAATCTATGTTGGGCTCAATAACGCCTATTTCGCGTCAAGATTTGTTGAGTTTTTCTTAAGGAATTATGGCACTAAATTTTGATAATAAATTTATTTTTCATATGCTATCAAGAAGGAATTTCATTGAAGTACTTATGCTGAATTATTTTTATTGTTTTCTTTTTTACTAAACCATTCAATTCTACAAATTATCATTCTCATAGTAGGGGCCCCTAGGTAAGAATTCCACTCCTCGTTTACTCATTTGGGGCAACTGGATCAAAAGCTATAAAAGCTTCGTTTAAACCGTAAAAATTAACTTTAGATAAAGAAATAGAGTTTTTTCAAACCGTCAGGGTAAACAAATTCATTAACATTTATAAATAACAAGAAAATAGGTAAAAATATTAGGTCTAATTTCTTCTACAGAACTTTGATTGTTCTTGGCCCAATCGCCCATTCAGGACAATAAAGTAAAAATGTAAAAATACACAAAGCTCGTTTTCCTATTTTGGGGCAAATTGGGCCAAGAGTAAAAAAAATTCTGTTAAAACTACAAAAATTAACTCAAGTTAAAGAAAAAGACCTTTTACAAACTGTCAGAGTAAAGATTCATTTACATTTATAAATATCAAGAATATATGTAAAAATCTAAAAAGAAACATTTTTCTCATTTGGGGCCGGGAGCCATGACGTTAAACTTATAACAATGAGCAAAAAAAAATTCTGAAAATTTTTCAGTAATAGCTCAAACCTAAATAAGTAAAATTTGAACTCTATTTTATGAAGTGACCAAACCAATTTTATAAAATATCATGCAAATAGTTTTGTCGTTACATGGAAATGTGAACGAAGAGTCGCATTATACCCGAACTTTATCATATTTTAATTTTACGCGTTGCAACGCCTTAAAGCGAAGTATGATAAAACTCACAAAACCATGTTAATGACAAAACTATGAACATAATATTTAACAAAAGTGGTGGTGCACTTCATAAAATACAGTTCAAACTTCACTTATTTTCAAGCTTCTTTATCCGCTTAAATTGTAAATCAAATCCAAGTGACGCAGTTATAAATAATGTTATTTATCATTTGCAACAACAATGTTGTTTTTATCATAGATAACGTGCACTGTAAAACTTTACCGTGAAATTCACGGTACTATACAGTGAATAATACGGTATTGTACCGTGATTGCATTTTACGGTACAGTACCGTTATTTTTACGGTGTTGTACCGTAATTACAATGTGAACACTGATTTAAACTACTTCACGGTATACTACCGTGAAATTGTTAGAGTATGTAGAGAAAACTAGCAAATCGGGTTGCCATTTTTTTTTTTTAAATATTTAGTCTTGATTTAGCATTGATTTTAGAATAATTTATATTTAAAATATTTGCATATATCTTAATAATTGATCTTATAGTTTATAAAATAATGTTTGTTTCAATGACATTTCTTGTTGCACTTGATTTATAAGGATATAAGATTGAATATTATATTTTATATATTGAATATATAAAATATTAAACACTCGTCATATATATATATATTATATATATGTATAGAATATAATACTCCATATATATATATATATATATATATATATATATATATATATATATATATATATATATATATATATATATATATATATATATATATATATATATATATATATATATATATATATACAAGTGTTTAATATTTTCAGGCTAAATATAGTTTCAGGCTTAATAGTTGTTACAACTATAAATTTTAGTTATGTTTTATATCTTCGTACCTTAAATCATCATCATATTATTATTATTATTATTATTATTATTATTATTATTATTATTATTATTGTATAAATGTAAATATATATATATATATATATATATATATATATATATATATATATATATATATATATATATATATATATATATATATATATATATATATATTACAGTTAAAAAAAGAAAATGTCTAAATTGGATTTAAAAGCATGCAACCATTGTGGCAAAAAAATGAAATCGTTGCTGAGTTATATGACTCATTATCAAAGCCATCGCAATTTAGCTAATATTCAATTTCCTTGTTGCATTAAAAATTGCAGAATTATTTTCAAAACATATTCAACTTTCAAATTGCATATAAGAAAAGCTCATAATACAATCATCATGGAAAATAAACCAATAATAGAAATAAATAAGATTTTCCAAAGTTTTAAATGTGATATTGCATTATGTAAAAAAATATGTGCTGGTTTATCTCAGTTTATTTTACATCTTAAATTACATCTTGACTCACTTGACACAGTTCATTGTCCTTACATGAATTGAAAAAGTTCTTACACTAATCGAAATTCATTTGCATCTCATATAAGCAGAAAGCATAAGCAATGGGATCCAAGTTTTATCATGCCAGTGCATATTGTACATAGCTTAAATTCTTCTTATTTAAATAACGATAAAGATTTTAGCACACTTGAACAAGAAAGCTTTACATGTGGATCTTTAGAACACTATGAAAATGAAGAGTTTCTTGATGGTATTGATGATATTTCTTCTGAAAAATATTTAAAGGATCAAGCTCTCTTTTTTTTTAAATTGCAAGTAAAAAATATAATACCAGCTTCTTGTATTCAATCTATTTTTGATGAACTTATGGTAGCAAATCATTCAAGTTCTTTATTATCTGTTCAAAGTCTGTCATCTGCAATGTCCAATCCAAGCAGTGATATCTGTGAAAATGTTTTAGCAGAATTTTCTAAGTCAGAACATACAAAGATAAACAGTTTGTACACTTTAAGTACTAATAAAAAAAGGAAAGCTTATTTTCATAAACACATGAGTTATATATCTCCAAGAGAATTGACTTTGATGTTTTGAGGTTTTGATGCCAATAAAAAATCTAGAACTGTTCATTATGTTCCAATAAAGGATTTATTAAAAATGATGTACAATAAACATAGTAATGAACCTGGTTTTTGGCTAAAACCGGAGGAAAATTTTGGTATATATACAGACTTAATGAGTGGATCCCTAATTAAAGATATTGCAAAGTCTGATGATGAAATTTTATATCTAATGCTATATCAAGATTCTTTTGAAATTGTCAACCCAATTGGATCAGGAAGGAAAAAACATAAAATTCTTGCGGTTTACTTAACATTAGCAAATATTCCATCCCACAAGAGATATGCATCGGAGCAGTTACAGCTGGTTCTAATGTGTAAAGATACAGATTTAAAGTACTTTGGCCTCAGCAAAGTGTTTGCACCAATTTTTTCTGAATTGGCAGAAATATCTGGTTGTTCTGTTTCTGTTTCTAAAAGTTTATCAATAAAAACAAAACTTCTATGCATACTAGGAGATAATTTAGGATCACATTCTATAGGAGGTTTTTGTGAAAATTTTAGCACAGTTTCGCACTTTTATCGATACTGTTTAGCAACACGTGCAGAGTTTGATTTTAACCCTCAATTCCTCGGATCTGATCGGACAAAATCAAGCCACAATAATAGCCTGCTTCAATTAGCTCAGAATGGTAACAATTTTGAAGGAATAAAATTTCAGTCACCATTCAATGATTTATGCGGATTTCATGTGACTACAGGTTTGCCACCATGCTTAGCTCATGATATTTTTGAAGGCGTTGCTTCACGAGATATGTATCTATTTGTTAAATATTTTGTTAGTAAACGATGGTTTTCATTTAACAATATCAATAGAAGAATTAACATGCAGAAGTATTTTGAAGGAGATGCCTTGGATAAACCTTGTGAGGTGAATAAAATTTCTTGTACTGAAAAGTTAAGTGGTCATGCAGTTCAAAACTGGGTGTTTTTGCGTTTGTTTCCCCTTTTTATAGGAATTTACATTACAGATTTTGAAGATCCTGTGTGGTTATTGTATTTAAAACTGAAAGAAATTGTGGAGATTATATGTTCACCCAAAATTGACATTCAACATATTGCTTATCTGCAGGTTTCAATAAATGGCTATTTGTCTTCTCGTAAAGAATTATTTCCTTCCAAGAAACTATTACCAAAACATCATTATTTGTCCCACTATCCACAGCTAATTTTGCGTTACGGGCCTCTAATGCGGGTTTTCACTTTGAGGTTTGAACAAAAGCATTCTTACTTTAAAAAGTGTGCCAGAAATTTTAACAATTACAAGCATGTATGTAAAACCTTAACTGAGACACATCAATTGTTGCAATCATACAATAATTCAAGCATACCGAGTTCAAAAAATTATGCGGTCAATTCATTTTCATTCAATATCACAAATTTTAGTTCTACAATTTTTGAGGCAATTATATCTACATGCGGACAACTGCCGGATACATTTTCTACCCATATTGTCTATCAAGGTACCCATTACAAAAAAGATTTGTTCTTGATTATTGACTTTACGAAGGATCATGAACTTCCTATTTTTGCAAGAATTTTGTTTATTTTTTTTGATACACATGGAATTGAATATGTTCTTGTTAATGAGCAGAACACACAATTGGTGCATGAGCTTGGTATGTATGAGGTCTGTGGAGAACATAAAGAGATTCGATGTATAATGATTGCTTCTTTAATAGATTACCTTCCGCTACCATCTTACAAGCACTGCAATCGTTCTTTTATTTCCTTAAAGCACTCTGTGTCATGCTCATTAAATAACAATAGTTTTACATAAATAATTTTCAAAAGTTGTATATTTTATTTGACAGTATCGTAATAAAAGATTTTATTTGTAAACTATTTTATTTGTAGTATTTGGCTAATGTCTGCAGTTTTTATCTTAAAATATATATATATATATATATATATATATATATATATATATATATATATATATATATATATATATATATATATATATATATTAATATTGACCTACAATATAACATGACTCTGTATATGACTGTATATAATTTATAATGATATATGGGATATTTTTGTAATATGTGCATGATATATATGATCTCTTTTTTTTAGATAATGGAGGTTATTAAAAGTAATATTTTAAGAACATTGCCAAATATTGACATCTGTGTTTTGAACCAGGTTGTGAATAATTTATGGGAAATAGGTGTTGAAAATGAAACAGATCTCTACTTGGTGAAAATTGATGATTTGGTTTTGCTAAAACCCATCTAACAACGCAAAATCCTTGAATCTTGGGCAAAGGAAAGCTCTGGTAATAAAGATATATGATATATATATATATATATATATATATATATATATATATATATATATATATATATATATATATATATATATATATAATTATCATTTTATCATATACATTTATATATTTTTATTTATAATATTATTAAAACGTTTTGCAGAACAATCTCAAAATCCTGTAGATTTTATTGTTGCCACACAATGCAGCATGCAAATGATGCCCACAGTTGAACTGAAAAATAACTCAACTAAATCGAGTAAGTTATTAAAAAAAGTTGTTAATAAACCATTATAAGTGAAAAAATATTTTATTAGTGTTCTATAAATATTTAATTGCTCTGTTTTAAATATAGTTTCAATTCTGTCTAGTAATGAAGGTTAAGCATGTAAGTGCGGCTGATTGGTATTTGGCATTTGTTTTACCTTGGGAAAAAATGTCTAAAGAGGTACGAGATATATTAGCAGCTGGAGAAAGACCTTCAACAGCAAATCGGTGTACAATCATAAGGATTATTATGAATGATATCCTTGCTGTTTGCTCAAAGCCGTTGAAAAAACATTTAGATGTAATTGCATCTTCTATGGTTGCCAAATATCCTCAATCATTTAAAGATGAATATGGTACTACAGTAATTGGTAGCGGTCATGACAGTTTAACGTTACAACTAGTAAACCGTTATGACTATCTTCAGCGGCCAAACCGTGCGCCACCGTTACTAAATGTTTTCAATTTGGAAACCCAAAATGAACAATTACCAGTTGATGTCATAAAAAGAAAAACTGATAGTTATGGTTGCTTGAACCGAGTACCAGTTCTCAGTGTTTCAATCAGCCCTGATGAACTTGATTATTATCTCCAACGAACTGAAATAAATGAAAAGATGCTATTGAATGATTTGTTGATAAAATTCCCCAATTTATTTACAGTAAATTAAATTATTTTTATTTAAAAATATTATAATTTATATTACTAACCAGTATATATTAATCAATATAATGATAACTAGATATTTCATTTTTATATTCTATATTTTATTTAATTATATTTTTGTAGAAGTTTATTTTGTTTAGTTTTAGTATATCTATGTATTTAAATTAATTTTTTATATTTAGGTTGAAGGTTTGCTACATCATTTTGATGTTTTGATGGGTGGAGTTAATGCTGGTGAACTTCTGACAAAAGCTCTAGATGATGAAAAGTTATATTTATTTTTGCGTAGTTGCGGAATAACAGACCTTGGAGTGAAGAAGGTGATATTAGATTTAGATAAAGCAAAGCACGAAACTTTGTCAGATTTACCTGTGGCTCCTGGTCTTGTATATCTTTGATTACTTTATTTAATGAAAAATTTGACACACTTTTTATGTTTGTGGATGTAAGTTAAAAAAAATAAATAATTTAATAAACATTCGATAAAAATTTTCAAGCAATTAATCGTTTCACTCATTTTATAATAACATGCAATGTAGTTACTTCAAAGTATTTGATAGTAAGAAAAAAATGTTTAGGAGACAGTGGATCAAACAAAATTGGCACCAGGACCAAACTTTCCACATCTACGTGTTTATGGTATGTTGAATTATAAGTTTTAATATGTTTTAAGTTTTTGAAAAAAAGGATGAACTTTATCATTTTTCTTTAAATATACTTAAGTGGATTTTTCAGTGTACAAGTCAAATTACATTCTGTTTTTAGGAAATTCGCTATTTACAGCAAATCGATTCATGCTGGTAATAGATTGCATTGTTGTGGTTGATGGGATGACCAATTTTGTCAATTCATTTTGTTGTTTGTTTGCTAGTTTTTATATTTTCAATATACCATATCCAAAAGAAGCTTCTTCAATATTAGAATTTTGTCAACGGTATAAATTTATTTAATTTGTCTAAGGTTTATTATGTATTTGATTTTGGTTGTATGTTTTATTTATGAATGTTTTTAAACGTTAATTGCTTATACATATATTACTGACCATTCTAGTGCATTTTTTGGCATCAATCCGGAAAAGGGTAGCAAATCAAGGCGAACGAAGAAAACTTCATCAATAAGCAAAATTGTGCTGTCGATACTGCAGAAGTTTGCGAAATTTAATGTTTGAATTTGCCATGTTAAAATCCTTCATCTAACTTTAACTCAAACAACAATTTATTATGTAGTTATTTATATTTGTTTGTAAATTTTCAAAGGTTTTACAATAATATCTTGTTTTATTTTTTAATTACTTCTACTTTCCGAATATAACTATTTATATAAAGTCATATTGGTATATCAGAAATTTAAAATTTGCATTTTGCTTTAACTTATTTATATTCATTTAATTTATCTAAGTACCTATTTCTGTTTATAAACATGTAAATAAATTAAAACTGAAAAGATTTTTAAAATATGACGTGTTTTTGTTGCCATTAGCATATAAATAAGCATATATGTTGATAGATATTTATGATTGAAAATACACTTGATAAAACAATTTTAACAAATCACGGTAATAATCATAATACGAAGAAAAAGTTAAACAGGCGAATTTTTTTTTGAAGATAGTTAAAATATATTTTGTACCGATTTTTATTGTACAATATATATTATACGATTAATGAACGAGGCATTTCTTTGAATTAATCACGGTACTATGCCGTAATTCACGCTATTTTATCATAGAATAATCACGGTATTCTACCGTAAAATTACGGCGTTTCACCGTGATTTATTCACGGTGTTATACTGTAAAATAATCACGGTACTATACTGGCATTTATGGGTAACGGTATAGTACCGTGATTTTCACGGTAAAGTTTTACAGTGTGTTGTATCTTAGAAATATTAGTGACATCTTTAAAATAAATAAAATGAAATAATAAAAAAGATTGCCTTTGTTTAAATGCTTGAAAACATTTGCCCTTTAGTGATTTTTTAACAAAATGATTTTAGGCCCACTGCACAGTGGGCCAGAAACATGAAAGAATAATCAAAATTAATAACTACATATAAAATCAAATTAACAATGTTAACATTATAAAATCAAATTAACAATAATTCTATTTACTAAAACATAATATTACAACCATTTAAATTTTCTTCAGGTTAATCATTTTCAAAAAAGATTAAAAATTTTTGAATTGTTAAAGGTTGGTTTTGCTCATTTTTTTAATTTTTGCTCACTGCTGTCCCACTGTGCACTGCCTTGAATGTTAACTAAATATTTTATGTAAGCAAAACATAAAATTCCAAAAAGAACTACTAAAAACTTACTTTATAAAAAAAAAAAAAAATCGTCTTTACTACAAATTCTGATAGAGGGGGAGGGAAAATGTCTCCTTGACCCCTCCCCCCATGACGTAGCCAATTTAGATATACCCCCATGCCGTAGCCCATGTTCAATTATACTTGTTAATATATTATTCGCAAATTACATTCATAAAAAATTTTGTAAGGCGTTTTAGGAAACTCGACTAACTTGAAGAATTATTAGTATAATTAGTGAATAAAATATATGAAGTTTATATAAGCAAAACATAAAATTCCAAAAAGAACTATTAAACACTTACTTTATAAAAAAAAAAATTATCAAAATATATTAGTGAATAAAATATATGAAGATTAGTAAATTTACTAATCTTCTAACAATTTATTTTATGTATAGAAGGTTATTGATTGTACTTTTTATAAGAAGTACAATCAATAACCTTCTATAAATATACAAACCCATATCGAAAAGATTTTGAGGTTAGGTTGGTTGTTTCGGAGAAAATTGTGGTCAAGAATAGAAAATTTTAATTAATTTTTATAACGTGAAACTAAGAGCATTTGGTCAAAAAAAGATGTCAATCGCTCACGATTATCTCCTCCCTTTCCCCACCCCAACCAACAGAACAATTTTATAAATTTAATAGAAACTAGCTTTTAATAGAAAATTTATATCAATAGCAACTCTTTAAACAAAATGCATATTTATTATAATGCATATTAAGGATGAAAAATCCTTTTTTAAAGCTGTTTTGTGCTGGTCTGTAAAATCTGGGTCTGTATTTTATATAGTCTTTAAGGTGTTATATCTTGGAAAGGAAATATTTTCACCATATGGTTTTCACATACTTTTTGACGAGCTCTTTCCAATTATATAGTTTTTTGTTTAATTTCTATATATTTTTTTGCTGACTGTAAAAAGTTATGATCCCGGCCCAAAATGTTTTAGCACTCGTTTTCTTCTTAGTTTTAACCTAGTTAAACAAGTTAAAAGCTAGCTAGACAAGTTAAAACCTAGTTAAAAAAAGTTAAAAGCAAAAAGTTGCTTCTAACACGCTTGTGCACACGAAAGTGCTAATCGTAACATAGTAACCCTCACGATAAGTCTTTTGTTGATACTGTCACTTTCTTCAAGGAAACTTATTTAATTTTGCTAGACAAGCAGCTGTAGAATTTTATGCTACATTTATCTATACAATATTTTTAACATGTAAATGACTATTGTTTCTAGGGAGATGGAATTTATTTAGTACTTATCCTTAACGTAATATGGGGTTTGCTCAACTGAAACCAATACAATACGCCAACTTACGGAAAATCTTGTAGGCCCAAATGGAGTTTAAAGTCATTTATGTAAACTAAAAAATGACGTTATTGATTATTTTTTATTCTAGGCGGAGCAATAGAAAAAAATTATACCGCTTTTATATAATAAATTTTTTTAAATAAATTTAAACAATTGTGTGACATTCTAGTTTTTAAAATATAGGTAAAAGGGAAAATTTTACTGAATCATTGAAAAGGTTCAATTATAGATGATATTGGTCCTCGGCAAGTGGGACAATAAGCTGTGTTGCTTTTTTGGACTTGTTGAATGCAGGGCTGACAAAACAAAAAATGTCTGCTAGGCATTACAAATGCACTTCGGTGACTCTGTTGAAGTAGAAGTTGGCAAAGAAAGACTCTCACCAACCTCGTTCATTGAGTTTTCATCCAAAACACTAAAATTTTTTAGAAACTTCAAATACAGCTTTCCATATTTCATGGAAAATAACAGATTATCAAATAAAGTTAAACTAATTAATTTGGTAAAAAAATTGATAAAGGTTAATAAATAAGAAGTGTTATAAAAAAACTTGGAAAATTATCTTACACTACTTTGAAGTTTTGAAAGAGATATGATACTGTTGATAGGAATCTCTCAGTTGTTCAAACTCCGTCTCGAAGCTTTTTCTCAAAACAACGCATTTTTTCAATTGCACCATAGTCGCGTTAGTCACGGCGGACTGGCTGATTGCAGGCAAGCTGTTGAAGCTCTTGAATTGTATGGACTATTACATGCTGGTTAAGCAATTTTATAAACTGCCAAAATCCTCTATGTCGATCACCATATTTGATTTCAAACGTCTATTGAGACTCTCTACATTGTTATTGGTTTTGTGGTTCAAGCCATAAACACTGAATTCTTCTGGGGTCACTATATTGAGCCAATAACTCTCAAAATACCTTTTAAAAGCAAGTAGTTTGATTTTGATTTCCCGACTAAATTGTGCAATCTCAATAACTCGAGATCCCCAAGCAACCAAGATCTTGTTTGTAGGAAGGAGACAGAGTGCTGAAACTTTTCGTGCCCACTTCTTTACTTGAATTTGGTGGCGGTACTTCCTCTGAAGACCAAGAATTGCTAATTGCTTGGTGATTGCATTTTCGAAATGAAACCTAAAGATAAGGGTTTAAAGGGGATCATTAATTGATAACAAACTCTGAAAAACTTGGATAACTTAAAAACCGGAAACTAAGTAATAACTTATACCTGCAACCATTCACCAAGCTTTCACTCCAAGTTGTTTTTAAGGCATTCTGTAGTCCTCGTTCAAAATCTGACATAATGGTGACTGGAGAGAAATCTAAAACTTCTTTTATTTTGGAAAAAACAAGCTTGTATAGAGCCTCGGATTTCGATGTCATTAAAGCGCATACAGCTGGAACAGATATTCCCCAAAGGTGAGGGTTATCAGGATCAAAATTCATCTGATCCTCATCTGGAATTGGATCTTCAAGTACGGCTGAATACTCAACATTCGCTATAAAAGTTGCCTAAACTCCCTATTTTGATGGTTTTTACCCTTTAATGCTGTTTACAAAATTAAAATTGGTACAGTCTCTATTCGATAAATGTATCCTTAGAAACTTTGACAATAAATGTGTTCATTTAGTTTTGACTATAGTCAGGTATAAACACAACTAAATTGGCTTTATGATATATTAATTTAAATTTCAGACATTTAAATATTATTTTTTTTAAATAAAAAATAATTTGATAGCCCAGATGCAGGCCAGAATTCACTTTTAATGGACTAAATTAATTACTAACTAAATATTAGGTTTTTACTTACTAAATTCGTAATTTATTTTTATTTTCAGAACAATTTTTACACTTTTATATAATTTTTCTATATTAGGTTAATTAAAAAAAAAAGCATTTATAATTATTGACTTAACAATAATACTTTTTGTTTTTTATTTAGTACATATTTTGTGGAACGACTTCCATATTGAAAATATTTGTTTCACGAGAACGTAACAAAAATATTTATCTTTGAAGAAAAAAGAATTTTTAGCTTTAACAGTTGCAAGCACGACAGACAAAGGACTGACGCGTTTGCCCTGCAATATAGCGCATGAAATAAACAGCTGATCATCTGCACAGCCGGCATTAAATAGTTCCAACATCGCTGAAGTCAACCTGATAATCCAAAAATACCTTATACTTTTTACATTCCTTATTGACCAGATAAGATCTGACCCATTGTGCCTCACACTGGAGTATTTGATCAAAAAAGTCGATCAAAAATATTTCTTAAAAGTTACCGCAACAACAAGAGTTTCTTTAAAGTTATCGCAAATTTTTTTGTCTTTCAATAAAGCGAAATATTTTAAAAACATATATTTATGAGGTTTGTTTATAAATATTAAAAGTATATTTATGAATATAAAAAATATATATTTCATCTTTTGTAAATTCACTGCTTGTGTACATTCCATGAATACAATTGTGGCACTTTTTTGAAGCTGTTTTCTTAAGTTTATGAAGAATATAAATCAAGCCATAAAATGTTGAAAAAAATCAGTCTGGAGAAACGTGGTGAAATATATAAAAAAATCTCTTGAACATGAAGATTAATTAGTCGTATTGTGAGGGTATTTTCGACTACAAAATGGTTGTATGAAA